AGACAAGACAAGACAAGACAAGATGATAAGACAAGACAAGACAAGACAAGATGATAAGACAAGACAAGATGATAAGACAAGACAAGACAAGACAAGATGATAAGACAAGATGATAAGACAAGACAAGACAAGACAAGACAAGATGATAAGACAAGACAAGATGATAAGACAAGACAAGACAAGACAAGATGATAAGACAAGACAAGACAAGATGATAAGACAAGACAAGACAAGATGATAAGACAAGACAAGACAAGATGATAAGACAAGACAAGACAAGATGATAAGACAAGAGAAGACAAGACAAGATAAGACAAGACAAGATGATAAGACAAGAGAAGACAAGACAAGATAAGACAAGACAAGATGATAAGACAAGACAAGACAAGACAAGACAAGGTGATAAGACAAGACAAGATGATAAGACAAGACAAGACAAGATAGCTACATCATGATAATTCAACATGTGAGTCCTGATCAGGTGACTTTCAGAGCAAACATATAGGAAGATTAAACTACCTGTGACATGCATGTCCATGAAATACAAAAAGTCAAAGAAAATATATTTATATTTAAGAAACTTGGCATAATAGATATGATTTGAACCGTTATGTCACATAATTGGCATATTTTCTTTTGAATTTGGCTCAGCTAAAGTGAAACAGGAAGTGACATCAAAGGGGAACTCTTTGAGAAAGAAAACTACCTGGTTTTTGTTTATATAAATATTATTGTTTGAACTCTGACTCTTCCTCATCTCCCTATGATAGGGATTAAAATAATCTAAAGAAACATAGATTCTTCTCTACAGTCTGTGTTGCTAGCCATTTTAGCAATGCTCTGTTTATATTTAGGCATTCCCCTTTGACATCACTTCCTGTTTCTTCACATGTAAATATCTCAACAAGTGTTCATCTCAGTGACGTGAAATCTTTTTTACAATATGTTATAAATGTTATCTTTCAAAAAATACATTCATATTTATTATTAAAAACTGATGACATAGGCACTTTAAGGGAGACATACTGTGCTTTTAAATCTTTCCTTTCCACATTTAAATGACTCAGTTGGGGTTTTTTTCCCAGTGTCCTGCAAAATGAAACAATGTCCCACATTTGACTGATTCAAATTACAAAAAGTCAAAAAAACAGGGCAAGAAAATGATCATATTTATGCATGATGTAATAGAAACTATGTCCAAGAACTGAAAATGCAGCAAAACAAAGACTGGGAAAAGGGTGAGGTCAGTGAAAGGTGGTTGTCTAAAAGAAATTCCCCAAATGTTGTTTTTTTTTCCTGAAGTGGAACAGAACCTGATGCAACTCTGTGAAAGTGATTCACAGCAGAAACTCAGCTCAGTCAATGGACAGGTGCAGCTCAGTGCTACAGCTGCTGCTCCTCAGGTGTGGACGTCTGTGGACCTGCTTATGCTCTTGACTTATTAACTTATTTAATGTTATTTTTTCATGATAAATTAAAAAAGTTAAACTTTAAAGAATGTTTTTAACCAAAGTTTTTCCTTATAAATTTGAAAAAGTATTTAAAAAGTAGTAACTATTGTTGTGCACTAACAGCCAAAACAGAGAATAATTAATGTAGATGAATATAAGATCTATAATAAAATTAAAGCTCTGATGCAGTGTCGATGTGTACCACTGGTCACTCTGCTTTGGTCTGAATTCCTCCTTATTGTAACTCCACAAGCCCCTCTTTTACCTCTTTCCTGAGGCGAGTCTTGGATCAACTTGTTTCGAGGCTGTCTCTTTAAACACAAATGAGATGCTTCACACCCCGCCCCCCCTCCAGCTTCCAGACCGGCCCATTCCAGTTTGATAG